TCTATTAAAAATAGATTTAAATTTAATAATATGAGTATTTTATTATTTTTGAAAAATAAAAATATTTAATGAACAAAAAAATATTATAATTTAATATATTATAATTAAAAAAGTAATTTATAATAAATTTAAGATATTAAAAATTTTATTATTATATTATAACTATTAAGAAAAATTAAATATTTATTTTAAAGTAATTTGGTAATATATATTTTTTTAATTATCTAATCTAATTAAATATCATAACTCAACCTAATTATAACTAAATTACTAAGTAAAAAATACATCTAACTCATAAATATTTGGTATTTTTTAATTAAATAAATAATTATTTATTATGATAAAATAATTTCAAATTAATTATTTATGTGATCTAATTAAAACTATTTTTTGACATAATAAATAAAATTATTTTCTGTCATCATAATTTTAAATAATTAATAAATATTTTTTTAGTTTAATGTTGATTTTAAAATATTTATTAATATAGTAATTTAATTAGAAAAATAAGTGACATAGAAGAGAGAGAAAAAAGAGAAGTCGAATAAAAAAGCGAAATGAGACAAAAATAAAAAATATTATAAAAACAAAGAAAAAAAAACTGCATAAAAATAATAAACATTACTACTTTATTTGTATGATTAATTCGTTAAAATAATACACGAATTTGATTTTTATTATTTTTTATCGTAAATAAATACTAAATTAAATATATAAAATAAGTAAAAAGTAATATGCTTTTAAAAATTCAAATATTAAATTCATCAAGTGACGACATACCTTTCAAAAACCTTAATGAAGATATTTTTTAGATGGTTGAGAGTTAAACTTTTATTTTATTTAAGACCATTGATTAGTTGATAATAGGTTACATAATATAAATCAATAATATTATACTTTACTATTATATAAAGTTATCAACATTATACCATCTATTATTACTTAATATTTTTCTTTATTTTATTATGTACAAATTTTTAGTTTCTCAATTTGTTATTTTATCATTTATAATATTTATATTTTTCTTTTATCATAAAAAGTAACTTCTTACTTGAGTTAATGATGAATATTTCTCAGAAAAGATAATGACCCTATATATTAATTTTCACTTTTTTTAAAATGTTTAATTTAATGTTATTTTGTGAGACATATAATTGTTTAAACAAATTAATTAAATTTAATAATTCCTTTTTTAATCAATATTTTATATAGAATGTTAAAATATCCATCTAATAAATAATTGTTTCTTAGCACAATAATTACACATATAACATTAATTAAAGTTATGTTATTCTTCTTGCATTCCATTTTAAACACATTTTCTTCTAAACATAGAAAACAAAAATTTTGTTTAAGTTTATTATAAATTGTAATTGTTGTTCAAAATATAATTTATTTTCTATTAAAAATTTATCTTTATATATTTTTTTGCAAAAATAAGTTTTTTTTTATAAAATTGTTTTAATTGCAAAAATGATACGAAAATAATAATAAAATATTTATAATATAATGAATATTACATAATTAATTATATGATTTTTGTAAAATTGACTTTTTTTTATAAATATGAAAAAAAAGGTTTTTAACACCCTATTTATTGATTTAAATTTTTTTCCCGTTAGGTTTGAAATAAACACTCTTAGTCTATTTTTCCTTTATAATTTATTTCCTTGCCCTTTCACATTTATTCGTAACCATCAAAGTCTTAAGGATTTGATACAGAAATTAAGAAATGTATTTAATATTTTTATTAATTCTTCAAATATTTACTATTTTTTTATTAATTATATTTCTCTTATTTAAGGTCTATTAGATAACAATTGAAAAAATAAAAATAAAATATTTGTTTAAAAAAATTGATATAAAAATATATTTTTTTTAAATAAAAAAGTTATATAATAATAAAATCATTCATATACTTATTCTTTAATGTTGTATGAATAAAATAACTTTTTAAATTTAAATACATTTTTAATAATGTATAAATTAATTTATACTCATAAAATATTGTATTATTATAAAATATATTTTTCTAAAAATATTTGAGTTTAAATTAATAAAATAAAATAATATAAAAATGTGAAATATATTAAATTATTTACTTTTTATAATCATGATACTATACCAAAATATCATAATTAAATTTTAATATACACATATAAATTAAAATTATAAATATAGAAAAAAATACTTTTTTATTAAAAAAATAATTTTACCAAGTAAATTTTTATTTTCTTTTATGTATGAATCAAAATAAAAAATAACATGTTTTTTTTATTGTTTTCTTTGTTCTTAAATAAAGACAATCCTATATTCTTTATATCTTTTTATATTAATCACTTATATTTTTTTTAAAAACTCCACATATTTAATATTTTTGTCTTTCAACAAGATACTGATGATTTATTGAATATTTTATAATAGTTATAAACTAACAAACTCTTATATATATTTATTTTTTCTAACACTAAATAATTAAAGAGATAATAAAAAGTAATTAATATTTTTTTGATATTGTAAAATGACAATTTTTTTTATAAAATGAGATTAGTACAGTAATTAATAATAATAAAAACAACTTGGTAAAACTTAAGATCTAGCTTTTGCCTAATTTAGTTATTTAAAATATGGACCACGCCATTCATGTGGAAAGTTGGTGACGTAGCATAGGACCATAGACAGAATCTGAGGAAGCTGTCATTTGCTCGTGTCACACGAGGATGCAACAAAACGAAATACAAAAAGGAATTATAAGGAAGGTGTTGCGCGTGGTACAAACTTTCCTTAAAATAAAAAAAATAAAATTTTTATAATGTAATAAGAACATGACACATTTTTTATAATCAGAAAAAAGAAAAGAAAAAGCTCAATAAACAGAGGGAAAAAGTAATTATATTTTTAGTTTTTAAAATTTTAACTTTTAATGTTTTTAAATTTCTAAAATTTTATGACACTGATGAGAATGATAAAAAAAATATATAATAAGATATGTTTCAGGTATTTAACACAAGTCTATCTCATCATTTATGTTAACGTCACAATTATAGATACTAAAGCTTTATTTTTTTTTATTTTAAAAGAAGGTTTTCCAATTTAGGAAAACAAATGATAATTCTATCCTAAAGTTTAAATATTAAAAACATAATTAAATATTTTTTCTTTACAATTTGTGTAATGAAATTTACATTGAAATAAAGTTAAAACTTTGGTCTTATTGAAGTGACTTTATCTATTAAGTAATATCTTTTGTAGTGCATGAAAAAAACGAAGGTGGTTAATCAAATTTTCTGGTGAAAATTAATTTATTGATAGAAATCAGAAGTATTTTTCATCTATGATGTGATATTAATGAGCATGAAAACTAAATATGCATAAGATATTAAAAAAATGATTTATAAGATTTTTTAAATTGTATTTTGGCAAGACTCTAGATATTATTCAGATATAATTCTATTTGAATAAGATAAGAATTATTGTAATTAATTTTTCTTTGAAATTATCACCATCATTAATTTTTTGTACTATTTCTTTATTAATAACAATAAATATTGTTAATTAATAAAATAAACCCCCTTTCCCTTGAGAATTAGGAAAGATGGTTAGTAAAATGACACGATTAACCCCCATTTAGAGTCATTAGTGAGGGTTTTGTGAAAAAGTTTAAAGAGTTAAGTGTAATTAATAAGCTAATTCTCCTGTGCAAAATTAAAGACCGGTAAAGTTGTTGGGGGGAGAAAAGACTAAGAATGAAAATGAAACCAATGCAAAATTAATCATCCATGAGTATATAACACCTTTTTCTGCTTCAAATTGTTCACTCTCTCCCCTCTCATTTCAAATCCGCACCCACAATCTCAGATCTCTCTCTATCTCTTCTTAATTTTAAACATAATCCCGGAAAACGTGTTAGTATTGATTGTTGATTGTGATGGCGAGTGAGTCGCAAAATTGGGTGTTGATGGTGACTGCGCAGACACCAACCAACATTGCTGTGATCAAGTATTGGGGGAAAAGAGACGAAACCCTGATCTTACCAGTTAACGATAGTATCAGTGTCACTCTCGATCCTGCTCACCTCTGCACCACCACCACTGTTGCTGTTAGTCCCGCTTTCCAACAGGATCGCATGTGGCTCAATGGCAAGGTAAATTTTTATTTTTCTGTCTCATTTATGTTTCGTTTTTGTTTTGGTTCTGTTTATTTTATGGTTTGTGGGTTGTATGGAATTAGATCAACGGTTGAGTATCTATTGAGAATTGTTTTGCGTTAGAAACAGAAGCGGAGTTATGTCTACGGACAGATGAAGAAGTCATGCAGATATTTACGCTTCAATAGCATTCAGAGTGAATCTTTGATAGATTGGAGAAAAAGAAAAGGAAAAATATCAACGAAATCAAATGAATTAAACTTGTTTTTTGAGTTTTTTTTTTTTTTTTTTTTTGCATGAGCTGATTTGAACCTGGGGAGATTTTTTATTTATTTTTTTTTCTTAAATCGTTTTATTTTCTTCACAATAAGTGCTAGTTGAAAAGGTTACACACAGTCTTAGTAATTGTGCAATTTTATTTTGTGGCATTACTAGCTTGGCACTTGCACAAAGGGCAACTGCTTATTTGTTGATTTGTTTCTCTGTAATCTTTAGTTGTTGGAGAGATTTGCCAGTAAAAAAAATGGAAAGGGATTATAAAAAAAGGAGGCCTTCTGGCAAGCCTAGATGATGACAGAGAGATTTGCTATTTTACTTCTTTCTGTTTTTGATTCCTGAAATTTGGTTATGCTGGTTAGTGTAGGAGATTTCTCTTTCTGGGGGAAGGTTCCAGAACTGTTTAAGGGAGATTCGCACACGGGCTTGTGCTGTCGAGGATAAGAAAAAGGGTATTAAGATCACAAGGGAGAATTGGAGCAAATTGCATGTTCACATTGCTTCATACAACAATTTCCCTACTGCAGCAGGGCTGGCTTCATCAGCTGCGGGTTTTGCCTGCCTTGGTAATACACATGTTAATCTTGATATTTTGTTTGAGCTTTCTTTCATTCACTAGTTGTGATAATTGAGTGGATTGCTTTGTGGGTGCTGGCCAGGATTTGGGCAGTCTTCCATTTGTTTCCTATTTCTAACAAAACTTCTTTTGCCTTCTATATTTAGAATTATCAACTTTCCATACTTTGAGCTTAATGCTGGTTGCTTGAGTCAATCCAACAGATCTGGTTGTGGTCGGTTGCCTGCTTTATTAGGTTTAAGATCTAATCAAACAGGGCATCGATTATTCCAGAGTAAATATGGCAAGGATGGTGATAAATCAACTCACTGGGAAAACAAAATTGTGTTCTGTACTGATATGATATAATTTCATGTGGATACTGGAGTCTGGTAGCAATTAGCTTGAATTGCAGTTTGATATAACTGTAATTGAGGGGTTAAATAACTGAATTAAAAACAAAATTGAAATAAATTTATTGATTCGGTATTCCTCCATGGAGAATGGTTTTCCTAGTCCAACTGGCTTATTCATGAAGTATGTTTTATTCCTTCGAATTGGAATTTGATTCATAGAGGACTATCATTATTCTTTATTGAAGAATATTTTGAATATTACATCTCTCACTATATTTTTTGGAATTATGTATAGATATTCAAATTCCAATTTTGTTCTGCCTATTATTATCTCGATCTAATTTCCATGCTTTTCTTATTTGAATCAAAATAGCAAGGTTATTGGTGCTTGTTAGTTTTATATTAGGTGTCATATCAGTTACCATATGTTTTAATGGTTTTGTTTTCTATTTCCAGCTTATTCCCTTGGGAAGCTAATGAATGTCAAAGAGGATGAAAGCCAGCTATCTGCTATTGCAAGGTCTTTCTTTTGTTAATGGATTTAAATTTGTGAGTTGTCATGGATTTGTTTGGACAGTTTGAATTTTAATAGCATGTTGTAGCACTTGTGAGAATTGTCATAATGTGCAGGCAAGGATCAGGTAGCGCTTGTCGCAGCTTATTTGGGGGATTTGTGAAGTGGATAATGGGAAAAGTAAGTTTATCTATATCCTAATGTATATTTTGATACAGTACCTTGTCTGAGCATCCATTTTTAATTTCTACTTTTCAACATTTATAGGAGGATAATGGAAGTGATAGTCTTGCAGTTCAGCTTGCTGATGAAAAGCACTGGGATGATCTTGTTATTGTTATTGCCGTGGTATGGTACTTTTGGTCTTTATTTTATTGAATGGATGAGTTTGCTATTGAGTCTTGAATTAGTATTTCATTAAAAATGGTTTGTTGTGGTCATTACTCAATGTAAAGCTGTAGGTTTCCAGTTTCCCATTCATTTGTTTCAAGCTTTGTTTCAATCAGTTCATTTTGTCTATTATTTTCCTAAACATGACTTCACTTTGATATCAACTTTTTTTCACTAAAAGTGTTTGTATTTTATTTTATGGCTGCTTTCAACTTTTAGTATTTCCTAATTTCGTGTTTTTCATTATTCTATAATGGATAATAGTTTAAAATGCTTCATTATTATTTGATATGATATTGGTTATTTGCAAAATTTTCTTTGTATTATTGAAGTAACCTACATACATCTATTATTGAATCATAAAATGTACTAAATTTTAGATCTTGATTTTGGTTTTTGATGTGTCTATGCTATGTTATTCTCTTTTGTCAACATGTTTCCATTTCATCTTAGCACTATTATCTGCTATATTGTATCATCTCATAACTCATACTTTACTCAATATTCCCATATTTTTATCAATTTCTAGGTTAGTTCACGGCAGAAGGAAACAAGTAGCACCTCCGGTATGCGTGAGAGTGTTGAAACAAGTTTGCTTTTAAAACACAGGGCAAAGGTACTTAATCCCCTCTGTACAAGTTTTGCTCCACTAACCATGTAGATGTTTTTTTCACTGCTCTAGTTTTCTTTCTTTTTTAGAATAAAGACATTCCTTATGTATAGGGTGTTTCAATAAAGCTTCAAAGAAGCTGATTTGGACATGTAGAAATGACATGGACTTCCTATAAGGTTTTTTAGCTTATTTCCACAAGTTTTGTAGAGAAGCTTAACAAATTAAGTTTATTAGCTTATGGCAATAAGCTTTCATAGTTATGCTTACAAATAAGCTCTTGAGTGAGAGCCTAATTGAGTTATTTACCCACATACACATGTATGAAACTATAGAAAGGGAATTCCCTTGGTTTTTTGCTTAGATAGAACCCTATCAGGGAGAAAATTGTTAATGCGATGCCTTTTGTCCTCATTAAGACACTTACTTCAAGTCACTTACCGATGTTAACTATGGAATTTTATTTTCCAATGTTATGCTGTCAATTTCAACATTTGAATGCAAACACTAGTTATTACTTATTGCTTAAAAGTTTGTGGGCTGTTCGTTGCCCTTCGTAATATAAATAAGTAAATAACTATCTCAGTGATTTAGTTTGGACAATTTTTTTAATTTTTCTTTTACTCATTTGGAATGTAATAGGAAATTGTGCCAAAGCGGATACTGCAAATGGAAGAAGCCATTAAAAATCGTGATTTTGCATCTTTCTCACAATTGACTTGTGCTGATAGCAATCAGTTTCATGCAGTCTGCTTGGATACATCCCCCCCTATATTTTACATGAATGATACATCCCACAGGTAGTTTTTGATACTTGCAACAGTTGGTTATAATATAATCTCTATGTGATTATGGCACAGTTCTTTCCTAATTCATTACTGATGGTGCATTTTTTTCATCAGAATAATCAGCATTGCTGAAAAGTGGAACCGTTCAGAAGAAGCTCCCCAGGTTTGAATTACTTTATTGGTCATACTATAAGTAGCACAGTTTATTCCGGTGGTTGAAATTTCTGAAGTTTATCTCGAATTAAAAGAAATATTATTTGGAGTTTTAGGATAAATTTTTTATTATTTTCAAGTTCAAACATAGGGGACAAATCTTTTGTTTTCAGTCATTTGGTCATATCCCCCAAGTTTTACAGTTGAATGATCTAAGAACTGTTATTATTATTATTATTGCTACTACTACTACGATTATTAGCATTAATATTATATTGAAGAGAGAGCCAGCAGCATACAAGTAATAACTAAACTTGTTTTCTTAAGCATGCTTCTTTCTTTATATAAAAGAATTATTCGAGATAAGAGAAAAAAAAAGAACTAGATAATTTAGTTTATGCAAGTGCAGAATAGAAAAGGTAGAAGGTAACAAAGTACCGAAGAGATACAAAAGTTCGGCCCTTTCGAGTCTCTTTGCTTGCTTGTGAGAGATAAGAACTTCCCTGAATAACGATGAGCAGAGCACAGATGAGATCCATAAAGACAATCCTATCCCGTTAAATATTTAGGAAAATAAAATAATAAGCATTCAAAATAAAAGCATTTCACTTCTGTCAAAATTTGAAAGAACAAAACAATTTAGGTTATGCGAGTGCAAAAAGTTGTCCTACTTGTTTTTACAAAGCCTTGAAATGTACTAGTTGTAACTGTAAATATTTTGAACCTTTGCTCAAATTTCTGATCATGCTTCAACAACCAGTGTTCCCCAAGTTAACTTCTTCTAAAGTTCCTTTCTTGCTTTTCATCTTTACTTGCAAGGAAGCATATGGAAAGAGAATTACTTCCTATCTCCAGTTTTGTGTACATTGGCACCTGTAAACAAACAAATTTATGTAGATCTGTATATTTCTATTTAAATATTTAATTAGTTTTGACTTGCAGGTAGCTTATACATTTGATGCGGGGCCAAATGCTGTTCTAATTGCACGTGACAGGAAAGCTGCTACCCTTTTGGTTCAGCGGCTGCTTTATTACTTCCCTCCGAATTCAGATGATCTCGACAGGTGCTTTTTTAAGTCTTTAAAATCACATACATACTATTTCTTAGAGTTTTGTCAATCTCTTGAATTTCCTAGTTACCTTCAAAACACTATCCATTCAGTTACATTATTGGTGACAAGTCAATTGCGAAAGATGCTGGGATCAATGGAATACGGGATGTAGAAGCTTTGCCACCTCCTCCAGAAATTAAAGATAACATTCTATCACAAAAATACAAGGGGGAGGTCAGTTACTTCATATGTACCAGACCTGGAAGGGGACCTGTTTTGCTTTCTGATAACAGTCAAGCACTTCTCAATGATGAAACTGGGCTTCCAAAGTAAGTTTATGGAAGCATTCTCGTGGTTGATCTATTCTTCATCGGTCTTTACTAGCAGCGAGCTTTATGAGCCCAATATATTTTGACTAGATTCAAGGAAGCCTGTGCACCCATGGCATGAGGGTTCGTTGCTTCCAAATTCGCAGTTTATTTAGGTATCCGTAGCTCTTGTTTTCTTAGTTTTGTAATTCTTGATACAGATCTAGTTAGGCTATTTTGATGGAGAAAAATAAGTCTCGTTCCGTTTCTAAATTGAGCAAAGTACCTTCAATTCTCTTTAGCTTGTAACTTAAACTTGTTAGGTTTTTATGTGGTAAATTTCCCTATTTTGCTATATTTTAATTTAGTGTTCCATTTCATTCCCTCACCCGTAACATATTGTTCAAGTCTACATACATGTAACCAAGTAGCCAAACAGAACCTGTATCACGCAAATACAGGCATTTCAACATTAAAACTTGATGCCAATGCTTATAACTTGCCAAGCAAGCACACGAGGGCAACATGAAATATGTTGGAGTAACCCCAGTAGCATTACTTGGTTAGATATGAAACGTGAAGGGTCCTTTTATCACTCTGCATGGTTCACATTTCTACATAACAGAATACTGTCAGTCTGTTCCTTTACCTATTCGCAATAAATGTGAACTATGCAGCAAGAATTATCAACGCGGCATCACTTATTTAAACTGAGAGATATCAAACATGATTTAAAAACAACGTTCAAAATGACAACCACGAACTGTGTAATCATTCTTTAGTATGGTTCGATGATCAATCTCCATTGATTTGATGCGGTTCCGAATTGAAAAATGGTTCTAAATGGGTAAAGCACTTCCAATACGGTCGGAGAAGTTAGCCTATATGTATAATAATGTCTATTTTAACAATCATATCAATGCCTCAGTGGACGTTTAAGATTCGGTCTATACACTCAGATTAGACCAATGACGTGTAATGGCTCTCAATAATTAAGAGAATCACCCTTGGTTTATTTTCACTTCCATTGGTATGCATGATCATTTACCTGTTTTATAAAAAGTTCAAATAAGATCAATATACTCATTAGAGAAGTAAAAAGATAAACAACAATTATAGTAAAAAGAAGAAAAGTGCTACAGATATCAATTACCAGTGTACAGCAATGTTAACAAATGAAAGTGACATATTTCCATGGACCACACCACCGGAAGTCATGCCTTGACGAAGCACTTTTTTTCGACACAAGGTCCTTCTAAATTACAAAGGCCTTCCTTCCTTCGGGACAATTCACATTATGTTCTCGCCTTTTGCTTCCATGGCAAAACGAAAGCTTCTCCTGCTCTCCTTTCTCTTCTATAGCATCGTGCTAAGTTTCTTCCATTGCACATTATCACTGATCAATCCAGAAGATGATCTCAGCTGGGTTGCCATGGAAAGTGAAGACATTAACATGGTGCAGACCCGGAGAGATTCTTGGAAAAAATGTGACTTCTCTGTAGGAAAATGGGTTTTTGATCAATCTTACCCCCTCTATGATTCAAATTGTCCCTATCTCAGCACTGCAGTTACATGTCAAAAGAATGGAAGGCCAGATTCTGACTATGAGAAGTGGAAGTGGAAGCCAAATGGTTGTTCTATCCCAAGGTGTTTTTATATCACCTAAACTTGGACAATTGTTCACATTGCAAACATGTTATCACTATTATTTTATACGCATGCATGATCAATATTTTTTTTCTTTGTTTGCGTAAACGCCAAAATAGAGTTATTAATGCTCAAAAGTCAGTTGGAAAATCTCTTTACTTGCTAGAGAGCTTAGGCAATTATTAGTTAGTAAATCAATTCTACTCTTGGGCAAAGTTGTATGTAAATTTGGCTTCTTGATGATTCCTACAGGTTTGATGCACTGGGTTTTCTAGGTAAAATGAGAAGAAAGAGAGTAATGCTGGTGGGTGATTCCATAATGAGAAACCAATGGGAATCTCTTGTTTGCTTGGTTCAAGGAGTTATTCCAACTGATAGGAAAAGGGTGTCCTACAATGGTCCTTTAATGGCTTTCCATGCTATGGTAGAACATCAATCAAACGATGAAGTTTTTTCTTTTTGTTTCAAAATTAGCTGACCCCCATATTATTGCTCACTTGCAGGATTTTGAGACATCCATTGAGTTCTTCTGGGCACCATTATTGGTAGAACTGAAGAAAGAGCCTAACAACAAGAGAATTCTACATTTGGATTTGATTGAAGATAATGCAAGGTATTGGAGGGGAGTTGATATTCTAGTATTTGATTCAGCTCACTGGTGGACTCACTCTGGTCAAACAAGCTCGTAAGAAATCTTTTTCATTCTCTAGTCTTTCCCTACGTAATTTACTTCTCTGTAAATGATAACATTTGAAAAATTTCTCTAGTCTATAGTCCTTGGCAATGCACCAAAGGATACCTAACCTTTTTGCCGCTTCACATAGTAAAGGATTCAGTCTTGATGAATATCAGGTGGGATTATTACATGGAGGGAAATAGTATCATCACAAACATGAATCCTATGGTTGCCTATCAGAAAGGACTCAGTACATGGGCAAGATGGGTGGATCTTAATTTGAACCCTAGAAAAACCAGAGTCATATTTCGAAGCATGTCACCTAGGCACAACAGGTACAAAATCTATTTTTATTGCTTAATTGAAACAAGCTGTTGGATTTGACTCCTCTAAAATAGGCAGAGATAGATCATACAATCTCAATCGTTGATGAGGAAATCAACTTCTGCTGTTAAAAAACATGCATGATTTGTAATGTATGTAATATCATTCATAAATTTTCAAATCAAGGATTGCATTGCTGGCTTTAGAGGATCAGAATGCATAATTTATTTTATACTCAGCTACTCTGGTTCCATATTTTTATGTGTAGGCAAAACGGTTGGAAATGCTATAAGCAGAGTCAGCCTTTACAATTTTTCAGCCACCTACATGTTCCTGAACCTCTAGTAGTGCTACAAGGAGTAATAAAGAGAATGAGATTTCCAGTATATCTGCAAGATATTACAACGATGACTGCTTTCAGAAGGGATGGTCATCCTTCAGTGTATAGCAAAGCAATGAATGAAGAGAGGCAGAAAGCAGGCTCAGGTCTTTCCTCTGATTGCAGCCATTGGTGCCTCCCTGGGGTGCCAGACATTTGGAATGAGATGCTTAGTGTGTTGCTCTAACTATGACATCAATGGAATCTCTATGGAAAATGTAAGCAGTGTTAAACAACTCATCTAGATCAGGGTTTGTTTTTATCTTCTAGTGCCAACAACATGGTTGTATGAGTGTTTTTAATTATCAATGTTATCTATTCGATAACACTAAGCTTGAATTTGCCATTTTGATTTCCACAAGCAGCCAAATCACCTTTTGTTTGTAATTTTAAGTTGAAATTACTGAAGTGAGGAAAATGCATATATATGTTTTGTATAAGTAATACTTGTGTTAATGTAAAACCAGCCCATCTTCTTGGTAGATAAACAGTCTTAAAATTAATACTTAATTGCATTTTTATTGCTATGTTAGTGTTGAAATTCAAATTTGATTTTTTTTTTCTGAACTTTGATCTTTCACTATTTTAATGATGTAGCTTTATTTCATCTTTGACATCCAATCTTTTTACGGAAATGTTAACATGACACTATTACACACTATCATGTCAGCATCTCAGTTAAAACTTAAACTTTCACAAATGAATCAAAATTGTACAATGAAATTTGTGAGATAAAATTAGAAAAAATTAATATAGCATACCAAGTTATCATGCTTCTATGGTTGGTTTAAGGTGTTAGAGAATTTTTTTTATTCTCTTTTGCAAAATATCTTTGTACATATTATATATTATTTGGTTAAGATTTAGTATAATTATAAAATATTTTAGTTTCCTAGCAACCTGCATATACACACATTTTGTATCTTATAAATAGGTTGTACATATTTTATTCAATATAATAAATATATTTTAGCTTATTTTTTTAAGATGATATCATAATCCATTCTAGAGATGTTAGACTATTAACAATGGTAGATTAAACTACTCGTTATCAAATCAATATTATTCCACTCATCCTCGAGTGGGAGTGTGATGAAAATTTTTTCTTTAATATGAAGTATGATAAAAATCCTTCCTCAACGTAAGATGATGTGTTGAGAAATCCTACATCGACTAGAATACAATAACATTTTAATGTATAGATAAGTACAATCCTCCCCTAACTAAGCCGGTTTCGTAGGATTAAGTTAGATATCTACCAATTTCTAAGAAAAAGTACACATTCTTTTTTGGAAGTATTCCTTGGCTTTTACCTAGTATAGAACTTTTGCTCCATTTAAAGAGAAGAAAAAAAGTTGAGATTTAAAACTTGTTAGAGATATGACTTGATTACATTAAAGGAAGATATGAAAATATCTTACTAAATATTTTCTATTATTAGATATTGATTTTGTTTTTTTATTATTATATCTTCATTATAAAAAATATTAGTTGCATGTGTATAAAACACACAATTACAAGTTATCATTGCAATAAAACATATTTTAAAAAAATATAAAATGTAAAAAAATGGTAGAAAATCTTGAAATAGAATATTACAAAATATATGGATAAAGTTATTTAATTTACTTTTATATGAAGAGTATTTTATTTGACCTTCTCCTTTTGGAGGTTTTTGACACTTATAGTCATGGTTTGTTTGGATCCCCCAACAACAAAAAAAGTATAACACATAAAGGCACATGAGAAAGCAAATGAAAATTTTAGTAAAAAAGGTGCAACAACCAAAAGGGAGAAGGGGAATAATTAACAAATGAGCTTTTGAAGCAGTTACAGCCTCTTTGAAATGATGGTGCTAGATAAAAGCACCCTGCCATAAGCAAAACGTAGAAGAATGGAAAAGTGAAATAAAGAGTAAAGACACAAATAAGAAACATGCCCCTTGGCCTCAACCACTCCTTTGATTTTTAGCTTTTGTGCCAAACGTGTATAATTGAACCAAATGTCAATGATTGTGTTGACTTAAAATATGTACAGAAGGCAAAAGCAAGAAGTTGGAAATAAAGTACCAATCAGTTCAAACTCCTCTTAATCTCCATCCTTAACTGAAGGGAAGTGACTTTTCAAAATGGAAGCACTTTTACACTTGGTTCTCTGAAATCAGCCCTTGAAGTAAAAAGGGCTGAATTATTAAGATAATTAACTACTAATAAATTCAATGACTTTGTTTTGATGAGATACTTAATAAAATAATCAACTATCAGCAACATTCTGCAACAGGTATAATTGTATTATTGAATTTTCAACTGTGCATGTGTGAATCTTAAATCCTCCATGAAATATTTAAGTTTCAATATTTCTATTTGAACCCTTTTATTCATAAACAAAAAATGCATTTTAACTAGAAAAACCTCTTCTTCAACTTGGAAAGCTCCTTGGAACTCAGTCCAAAAGCTCCTCCTTTATGTCAGAACCGAAAACTGCATTAGGAATTCTCATCAGGCCAGGATTTTGGCTGTCAAAACTTCCTAAAATGGTAGCAGGGCCATCTCCAACATTCATCTGAAAGTGCACTAGGCCTCTTGGGAACACCATGACCTCTCCTTTCTCCAACACTTTGGCAAAGACCTTATTCTTGGTGTCAGCAAATCCTGAATAAATCTTTCCCTCTAGCACATAAGCAACCTCTGTTGCTCTTGGATGGAAGTGTGGAACATTTATACCACCAACACCAAAATCTGCTCTAACAAATGACACCCCAAGAGTGTTCAAACCCGGAAACACATTTGAATTCACTGCCATGGAAGAAAAGCCAGTTTGCTTGAAGTTCCCAGGAGATTTTATGCCAGAATTGCTGAAATCACTGTTGCTGTGGATGAGTTCTTGCAAGCGAAGCTGTTGTCTGCTGATTTGGCTATGCAAAAGTCCATGGCTGGATCAGGATCAGAAGCCAGAGCACCAATGATGAAAATTAAAGTAACTAACAGAACTGCTATTTTGTTGATCATTGTTTTGGAATGGAATGTGACTATCTTTTGCAGTATCAATATTTGGAAGGTGATATTGAAAAGAAAGGAATTGGTTGCTTGTTTTACTGAAGTTATGTACACACTGATGGGTAAAATTATTGAACTGGGATCAACCAAGTGGGTTACGGAGTCAGAATAGAAGACTTTTCTTCTCAATTTGTGTCATCAATTATTGAGGACTAGTTCAATATATAGGGGATCATGCTTTCTTGGGAAACTTAGGTTTGGAAAAAAGAGAAGATAATTTAATTAGTTGGACATTAAATGACAGCATTACCAAACTCATTCTTTTGCTTTATTCATTGCATTTTATCTGTCTTATAAGCTAAAGAATTGGTCGTGGTGAGTGTTTCTCCAATCATCATCACATTTGCTAAAAGAACACCAACCGAAGCGAAGCCAGTGAACATCACCCAACCCACTCATTCGATCAAATAATAAAAGGATAAATCTTCGATGCTCCAAATTGAAAGAAAATTGGATTAACATTATATTACAATATTTGAAATTGAGGGAAAAAAAATGCATGTTAAATGGAAAACATTCGAGAGAACATCAACGAATGCAGAGCGTAGATTAGAAATTTGCATGCATCCTCATACACTTAGGGTTGAAATGAAACTAGGAAGGTTAATGTGTATTAAAAACAAATTTCGGGGACTTTTCTCTAAGGGAATGTCCCATCAAAAATTAGATTTAACAATGTATGAGAAAATATTAGCATAATTATAAAAAATTACATAATAACTCTAAAAAAGTGTATTTTTATAAATAACCTTTTTATAAAATATATTAATCCAAATATTTGCGTATATTTCACCAAAATATCTCTAAAATAAAGTTCAATTTCTAATTAAAAAATTAAGTCAAATACCATTAAAATTTACTAAAGAAAAATGCATTTACAAATCAAATTAATTCCAAACAAGATGTTATTTCATGAACAAACTTCAAAGGCTTTTTCCCCTGCCATTAGCTTCTCACGCATTCCATTTAAATGCAATTTTTTTAAAGGTAACCTTAGTAGAAATTGAGATATTTTTTTTAACCGGGTCAAGTCTCTCGTTTCTTAGAAATGAAATTCCTGGTTTTATTGCACTAATTAGTTTCTTATCAAGAACCTTGGACAGTTGGACCAAACCACTCCTTAAATCATGAGCTTATTTCGCTTTTGACAACAATGTAAAAATTTGCAAGTAAAGAACTAGGTAAAACGTCAAAGACAATGATTAATTATAATACTTTGATATTTACCCTTACAAGTCACATCGGACTACACTAAATTACAAATAAACAAGTTCATTATTGGTTATTAAAGTTATACTTTCCTGTTCAGAAAAAAACACTTTTTAGTTTATTAACAAATGGATATCACTGAACAAAAAACTATTCATGAAAAGCCGATAAAACCAGGTATAAAAGTTCAAAACATAGAAAAAATCTTCTTTACCAAAGAACTATTTACCCACTAGATGACCAGAGATTAAGTGTGAATAATTCTTTAGATTACCAAAGCACTATTCGATAGTGATGACTGTTAAGCATAAATATTGAGTATTTTTTCTTTTAGACATACTCAATTCTATCAAATAATAAAATGGAAACAAGAGTAACCGATCAAAAACAGCTACTGCCACCAATAACCAAATGCAGATAAGAAAAAAAAACACCCTCCTTAAAGAAAATAAACTGTTATTCCTTTGTTATGATGTTTTCGAAATATGTGTTCTTTTTTCCTCTCTCAATTTAACTTACGTCTATTGTCAGTTATTTACTAAAGAATTTAAATTAAGAAACATACTGGTCCAAAGAATGCGTGAAGCTGACTGACTTCAAAACAACTGAATTTTTTCTCCACATCTCACCATTTTCCTCCCCAGCAAACGCATGTGCTAAAACCTCGATTTTTGTTGCCTAGTATACATAATCACAGAACCAAAGATCATAACTATGAGTCACCAGCGTTCTTGGTCTTTTCTCGCACCATTGTCTTGACAAACAGCTCCCCAGCCCTGTACGAAGATCGCACCTGCAAAGCGTAGAGGACTTTCAGTAAAGACTCCATAGGTTCATTGAAGATGATTAGATGATTGTACCACTTATCAACTGAAGTGGACCTATTGAGGAGGCGACTTAAAAGCACAAAATGGTTATCATAGAGACGCATATGTTCAGTCATACTACGAGAAGGGTACAATCAAATTCTAATGCTTTTGCTTAGAGCTTACCAGTGGACCACTAGCTACATAACGAAAACCTATAGATTCCCCGTATTCTTTCCAGAAAGCAAACTTCTTAGGAGTAACATAATCTTTGACAGTCAAGTGCAAGGGAGTTGGCTGCAACAATAAATCTTTTGAATTAACTATAAGCCAAAAGAAGTTGACAATAAATAAGAAAGAAGACCTGCAAGATGTATGTCAATGTCAGCTGTTCCAATCATTCAGTAACCTCATGCAGATTTAATAAAACATGTTATTGCAACTTAAAATGAATGATTAACAATCTGTAAGCATGGACTCTGTTATCTGTCCGTGTATTCTAGTTGTTGTGTCAGGTTGACTGTTGAGCTGAATCAGCAGCACCTAGTCAGTTGCTGTTCAGCATGCTGTCACAGTTAGCTAGTCAGCTGTAGTACGTCCGACAGCTTGAAGTCGGGTTAGTTCTTTAGCTTGTACCAGAAGCTGTCTTGGTGTATATATATTCAACAACCCTTCAGAGTTTAGAGAAGCAGGTCTGGAGAATATTAAAGTATTTTACGTTAACTAACCTGTAAATATTGACCAAATGTCATAATATCGACATCTATGGCCCTTAAAGCATCCATCACTTCCTTCACCTCATCATCAGTTTCTCCAAGACCCAGCATTATAGACGTTTTTGTTATCATACCCTCCTTGCTACGTTTTGCATGTTTTAGAACTGACAGGCTTTGCTCATACCTGCAATCATATACAACATATAAGAAATACTATACTTATTCCTTATACATTGTTATATGTAAGCTTCTACATTTCCAGTATACCAACTATTCCTCGTTGAAGAAAATTATATATATTAGCTTTTATTTTACTTTTAACGAGCAATGGTTTATAGTTGATATTAGAACAAAACTCTCGAAGCAACATCGCAATTTACCCAGCCCTTGGATCTCTAACAATTCTTTGGAGGCGTTTGACTGTCTCAATGTTGTGAGCAAAGACATCTAAACCTGAATGAACCAGAGTTTCTACAGCCTTCAAGTCACCTCGAAAATCAGAGGTTAAACACTCAACCATTATATCAGGTTTGAGATTCTGCAAAAGCAAATTATACAGGCAACAATTAGTATGTATATACAATTTCCATTGTATACCTTGTAGAATGTATTATAAAACATTCCAGTATATCAAAGAACCTTCATAGCTTTGACAGTCTGAGCAAAATGGCCACTTCCTCCATCAGGTATATCATCACGATCCACACTTGTTAGGACAATATAATCCACACTGCAAAAAATGGTAACTTGGAATTAACAGTGAACGAGATCTAATAAAGTTTTTATATACCCATGATAAATCTAGGCTTGGAAACCTGCTGAAATTAGCTCATGATCCATCCAGAAGATCATTCATTCTATTTTGTATTAATTGTAAACCGAGCATAAGCTCTGCGTGAAAGGAGAAACACCTGGAGGAGATATTTATCTGCTTTGTTCTATTCTTTTGAAATCAAGAAATACAATATTTTTCTTTTCTTCTTTTTCCAATCCAGGTTCCTAAGAAATGATGCATGTGAATCTGACAATCTTTCATAAACTATTATTAGAAAATAATAGTTGAAGTAAACTTATATACTTTAACTTTTACATTAACTCTCTCATCTAACGTTTCAAAAAGCTGAAGTGCATAACTTGGTACTTTTGAACAAATTTTCTTCATGAGTGTTCTTATAGAGGAAAAAAAAAGACGTAAAACAATGAGTTTCTCTGAAAAGTTAAAAATAATTTGTACACTTTAACTTTTACAAAAACTCTCTAGCTAACTTGTCCGAAAATTGAGGTACATTGATTTTAGCTTACAAAAAAAAATTCCATTCAATTTGTCCTTTTTATTTTCTTCAAAATGCTCACGGATAGACTTCATGGACGAAGTGCCATTTTGCTTTTGAGTTTGTACTTTTGTAAGTGCATATAGAGAAATTGAACAAACACAGGACCATAATAAATAAAACAATGCAGACACTCACTCACCCCCAACTTGCTATGGCCTTGGCAGTGTTTTCCGGTTCCATAGGATCAGGAGGTGGAGGGTTTCGACTGGTCTTCACAGCACAAAACCTACAGCCACGAGTGCAAGTATCCCCGAGAAGCATGATTGTCGCAGTTGCAATCCCGTCTCCGCCTCCATTCCAACACTGTCCACACACGCATTACAATCCAAAGCTCAACAAATAACAACGAAAGCGAGTGAAAAAGAAAATTGAACCAAACCTCTCCTATGTTGGGGCACTGTGCCTCTTCGCAAACAGTGTTGAGCTTCGAATGGGAAAGGGATTCCTTAATCTCTTCGAACCTTTCACCCTGCGGAGCTTTCTGCCGCAACCACTCTGGCTTCTTCACGTTTGGGTCTCGCCCCGTGTGCGGGCCCAGCCCACCAGGCCCAACAGCCTTCTGCTCCACCGTCACCGACACCGACGACGCGTCGCATCGGATTATTCCCCAACTAGGAGGAGCGAAACGGTGGCGTTTGTGAGCAGTGGGGGATGGGGTTGAGAAGGCGATGGAAGGAGGGTTGTAGAGAGATTGGCGAATCATTTTGTTGTGAACGGAAATGTGAGAGAAATTGTTGGGTTTGGAGAATGTTTTGTGAAGTCATAGAATAGAGGTGAAGATGAGAGAGAACGATGCATTGGTTGTAGTTGTAGTTGTAGGCATTGGTTTCTCCGTCCAGAAAATTGAAATCTGGTGGTTTCGGGAGATTTTGGTTTATAAAAGTGGAGGAGAGAATGGTTGAACAACATCGAAGAAATTAACAAAAGCCAGAACAGACAAAATTAATGTAATATTTTCTAAATAATGAGAGAAAAGTTGTAATAAGAATAAGGAAATTTAAGTATAGAAAGAATTTTGACCAAAATTTAAAAATTATCCGTGTAATCTAACTTTTATTTTATTTTGAAATATTTCACAATATATTTTTTTTAAAAATCTAAATATCGAGAAAGAGAAAATTTTCACATTATCGATTATTCAAAAGAGTGGTGATATTTTGATGATCGAAACCATAGAATCCTTAACTCATTTTTATTAATATAATAATCTATAAAATGATTGAATAAAAGTAAAAATTAAAATAAAACTATTATTATAATATTAAAAGAGAGTTGTTTATAGGAATTGTATGGATTTGAGTTCTCAAAATATCATTTTTCTATTTAAAACTACTGCTAATATAAGTTATCAGGCCTTAAATATTATTAAAGTTAATATAAATATCTCATATCAGTACTTTTGTAATAAGATGATAATGTATTTTTGCTTACATAGAAAAAAAAGTTTAAAAATTGTATTAGTTAGTTACGAATGAAGAGTAAAAAAATCTATATATTTTAAATCAAAAATATTTTTTTCTTCTATCTTATTTGAATTGAAGTGTAAAATTTAATTAAGATGCTGAGCTCGTTAACAAACATTAATAAAGATGAATATTTAAACAGAGTTATTAATAAGCTTTACTTGAAAATAAAAATAAATATTTTATTAAAATTGAAAAAAAATCCTTATATAAATAATTCTCATCAATTCTATTTTTAAATAATTTTTGTTATGAAATTCTTTTAGACAAGTCCTATAATAAATACGAGTAAAGTATTCTCATTATTTATTTTTTATAAGATGAATAAGTGTAATATCAACATGCCCACCTTTTGTTAATAACTTTTATTTTATTTAAATAAAAATAAATTATTAAAGTAAATTTATTAATAAAAAACATTAATAATAAAAAAAATATTAAATTTATAGATTTATATTTTTTATCTAAATTTAGTAAATTAAAATTATTTTAAATAAATTAATATTATTTAAATTAATATTTTATATTATAATTTATTTAAATAATAATTTTATAAATATTAATTTTATTTATATTAATATTTTATGATGTTATTTTATTATATTATTCTTTAAAATAAAAAAGTTTATTTAAAGGTATATCTTAAAGAATAATTTTTAAATAATATTATTTAACATAAAAATAAAATAGTAAGAGTATAGATTTCCAATATATTATAAAACCTAAACAATTACCCATGATCACCTGTCCCCATCCCTATTTAAAAGTAATATACATTTCATGGAAATAAAGTAAAGAAAATATTAAGATGTGTTTTTACTTTCTATTTACTTTGAAATAATGAGTTTCAGATTCTGAAAATACATAATTAACTTTACAAATACTAATACTTCAATTTCTTATTTTTAAGCTTCCATATTTTTTATAATAATATGAAAATATCACAATCTTTGTCGTATGCTTATTATGTTATACATTACCTTGAAAATCTTATAAAACAACAAATACTTAATTTTGATTGTTTTCCTTTAAAAATTTAACATAAACAACAAATTTCATTTTCATAAGTTCAAATAATAAAAATATTTATATTTTTATACACAATCATGTGAACTTAATACACAAACAAAAATAAGTCTAAACGTTGGTAAATTCAAGATTCAATTTTTGAAATCACTAACAACCCAGAGTATCAGGAAAGGAATCAGGCTTTGGCAATTAGATCAGAAAACAATGTCATTAATTGAACAAAGAATAAGTAAAGTCAGGAAAACCCTTTTAACAACAATAACATTTTAGATCAACATCTCTACGCTGGTGCAAATCGAAACAAAACATTTCACGCAAAAGCATATAAATTAATCGGTGCACATCACAAAACCATGTACCTTGTTGGGAGATTTGGATAGTTAAGTTAAAACTTTATAGCTATCACCATATACTAAAAAACATTATAGAATAAAACACTTCAGCATATACTGGCAGATGTTTGAAATTGAGTATGATAAAAGCTGTCTGGTTCTATCATTGTAATTATAAAAGTCCATATGGGGAAGCACAGCGGGATGACCAAAATTTTGTTGAAGAATGTAGTTACAACCTAAAGAACTCTAGATAATATGAACAATTGACTAGATTTTTCTTTTTCTTTAACCCTTTCTTTGGGTTTCTATGTTCGGTATGTTGTAGATAATAAGTATACAAAAAAGAATGGGCATAATTACAAGTTCCCGTCATCAGAGGCAAGAATTGTATAAGCAGATTTCCACCGATACAGCACCTTCATAAATACCAAATACTGCATGGGATTGGTAATATATAGTATCTTGCATTTGTCTTTCATAAAATCATGTTCAAATCAGACAGATCATCCATTGGTATGTCTAGGCCAATCGCGTCATTATCTTGCAAATCGTCATCAATGTTCAGCAGCCAAGAATCCAGGTCTTGAGGTCCATTAAGTTCGTTGCTTACACCTAGTTCTATGGAGTCTAATTCATTCATGTTTGAGATGTCCATGGGTGCCTCATTAACAGTGGATACATTGTGAGGTACAGATCCAGTTTTACTTTTTCTGTTGCCATCACTGGAAACAAATTCATTAGAGCCACATGCCAATTGATGCTCAGAGTTAGTATTTTCCATTAACTTGCTGAGAGATCCATTTCCAGAACTAGATAGTTGAGCTGTCTTTGGTTTAGACTTTGCTTTTGTTTTACGCTCACCCCTCGAATGACTTGCAGAAGAACGACCACCTTTTGTGACAGAATTTCTTCCAGAAGAGTCTTTGTCCCTGTCTCGTTCACTCCTCTTTCCCTTTGCTCCACCTATTAATGAACTACCAGGAGTTGATGCAGATCTCAGAGAAGGACTAGCACCAACATCATCAAGTAGCAGTTCCTTTTTCTTCCCTCTATTAATAATTGGTCCAGTCCTAGCAAAATCCTGGTTAGAGGGATGGTCTAGATTTCCAGACACATCCTGTTCCTTGCAAGGAAGATAACCTGCAAGAGAAAAGGCCAATATGTTACGTGATAAGAAATAAAACATGGTTCCAAAATAATTAAAACATGGTTCAAACAGAAAACCCGATGGTGCAAATTCTTGCTGAGAATTGTGGCCAAGTGATATATTTGCAGCAACAGCTGAACCAGTATTGTTGTCACGAGAAGGAGCAGCAAATAGGAAATCTTTGAAGACTGGCTCCAAAAAGCAACTTTGTCCTGTTTCCTCAAATTTGTGGCATCTAGCAAGAGTCTTCTTCATAAAAGCGAGAGCAACTGGCCTTGAGACCTTAGAAAGTCCGTATCTTGCAGCGCTAGTTCCACGTGTGGCCTGTAAAAATTATCAAGGGTCATTTCACGGTGTAGACATTACCTTAGACTCTTTCTAGACAAAAGCATGATTATAGCAAAACTCCTTAAAGAATAATCTGAAGAGAACATGCCACATGCTTAGTAACACATGGGGGGAAGGGGAGAGACTAACCTCTGTAACAAAAAAATACATTGCATTTCAACTACAAATAACATGATGGAAATAATCTGTCAAATAGCTCAATTTAATTGCCAGTTGCAACTTGTAACAACATCCACATTCTACAAATTACCAAGTAATTAAACAAAGCAACAAGAGAAAAAAGCACAGTAAAAACAGCATTACCAGTTTTTTCTTATAAGCCAACTCAACAAGTTTGTCCATAGCAACTTGCTCAAGGGCTCTGCAAAGTAATAAAAGATATATTAGCCATCGGTGAGGGTGCATAAAGATACACAAAGGTAACAATTCATCAACACAGAAATGATAAGCATATGAAACACTTTATCAACATCAAAAGTATAATCAATTAAATGAAAGAAACTATATAATATCGAATATAGTACCGCTGTTCCATCCCTCTGCCATGTTCTACTGCTTGAATAAGTTTCATAAAGCATTCTCTCTTTTTACTGACCTGCCAAATTGATCAAATAGTGTAGAGAACGGGGTAAATAAATAAATCAAGAATAACCAAAAATCATAACCAAATTCTTCTCCTTAAACAATTAACTACCTCACATATTTCAGTAGACATATCAAGCATAAAACAAAAGAATCAAAAACCTGTTGGAAGAGTCCCCTCTGTAATTGAATAATATCTTGATTAATAGCTTCACAATCTCCATCAGCAAGATCAGGCTTTTACAATCCAACAATAAGGAGATCAGTTAATAATTGAAGCATTGATTTAAAAAACTAACAAAGTTAACCATATTCAATACTCAGTAAACTCTTCAAAAAATAATGTCCGTCTGCAAGCACATATAATGATCATGTCCTATGCGTAAGAGTCGTGCATCACTCATACTAAAAGATTAAATTATGTAGAGGAATATGATCAGTAAATCTCTTACACCATCACATGAGTCATTTGGGTTGAACCATAAACAATGCACAGGCCAACTTCACATTGCAGAAATTTAATTTTATTTAGATAAATACGGGAGGTAAACAATATTTATAACAATCCAATTTCATGCATAGTTGTTGAAACATACAAAAAAACCTCTCCATATAAATAAACACGACTATTGGCTTCTAAAAGTTTCTAAAAATTAGAAGGTTACCACTGGTTCTGGATATAGGCCAACACTCTGTAGCTCCAGTAAGAGTTTATCCTCCATGCTCATTTGCTCAAAATGGCAACTGACAGATGACGAGCATGAATTTATGTGCATACCCAATGACGCATCATTACCAT